CCAAGTTAGTAGCCATGGCCTCCAACCTAATAGCGATGGCCTCCAACCTAGTAGCTTTCTCCCGTTCTCTTTATTGTCTTTTTTGTGCCTTCTAGTTTCCTTCTTTTGCTCTTTGGACCTTTTCTTGTTGGTTTTCTCTCGGAATTCAGACTCCCTGGTCTCCCAGCTTGGTGGACGACTGGTGTTGTTTGGGTTCAAAAAAGAACGAAGACCGAACAAAGAGGAAACCACGGTCTAAGGGAGTCTAACGCAAAAAATGGAAAGACAGGTCTAAAGAGTCTTGGAGTGAATTCCTCTGATGTTTCTTCTCAAACTAGTAACAAGTGCATCGCTACTAGTAACAAGTGCCTTACAAGTAGTAACAAGAAGCTACTAGTAACAAGTGCATCGCTACGAATGGAATTCCTCTCGTTCAACTCTAGCGGACTTCAGATTCGTCGCCAGAACTTTGGGACTATGGCGATCCTCACGGTCTACGGGGAAGCCTTGCTCTTCGTGGTGGCTTTGGACGAAAAGACAAGTAAAGCGGGTTGGTGGCCGCACTGGTTTCGCACTGGTGTCATTTCAATAAAGGACCAAGACATGCACTTGTTGTTCTTTCTTTAAGTTGTGATCCATGAGAAGTTTGGCCCACCCAGAGACACGCCCACAGGCAAACACTCAGGCAATTTCCGTGAAACACGGTGCATCTTCCGTTTGTGAGCCGAGTGTAGCTGTTGTCACTCTCAAGGACCACTCCATTTCTGTTTGTTTCCTGGCTTCTTTCGACCCTTAGAAAATGGACAGAAAAAGACCTTGAACATGTTTTTCTTTTTTAACCCTTAGACCGGGTGCTACTAGGGGCGCTCCTGGCATTACTACTAGTAGCAAGGACGCTACTAGCAACAAAGGGCATTACTGCTAGTCGCATCCGTTTTTTAAGGTGTTTCAAAGAAAGTAACAGAAAGTAACAAGAGCAATGCTAATTGTCCGCTTTCTCGATAAGGTTGCCACGGTGGTGGTGGTCTTCAGCGGGAGGACAGGCCGCTTGGCCGACCTCCTCCGAGGCCAGGCTGAGAAACTACCTTTGTCCGTTTCGTTCTCGTTTTTTTTGGCTTTCGTCCTTTCGAGAAGGTGCTCATGCATTTTTCTTTCGACCTTTTAAAATAGATCCGTCTAGCTTCTTCGAAGTTTTTTGGCACTTGATACCTCCTCTCCGTTCTCTTTCTTACTTCAAGAGCTCTTGGAGTCTGTTTTTCCCTTGGTGAGCCTTGTAGCGAAGACCGAGCCTAGTTAAGTTTCCCTAAAAACCTAGGAACCAAATGATTGGAAGCGTGAGCAATCCTGCATCTTGGCTAGAAGCTAACTTAGTCTAGGAGCTCACCTCATTACTGTACTTAAGTGGGCGAAAAACCTTGTGGGCTCAGGGGCGTTGTCCATGGCCTTCGCCTGGTGTTTGCTCTTCGCCTCCCGATGGATGTTCGAGCCAGAGCCTCAGCGAGACCTCTAATCGCAGAGCGATTGGAGTCGGAAAGACCTATAAACTCTAAAGGAACCTGATAGCGATGGCCTCCAACCAAATATGGCCTCAAACCGAGTAGCGATGG